GGGGAGCAAGAAGGGTGCTAAGTAATCCATTTCCGGCATGCAATAGTCCCGCTCCAGTTAAATGGAATTTTTCACTTGCTCACCCTCGAAAGCCATGCATGTCTGACACAGCCCAGAAAATACAAACATGTCCTGTCCAGAGTGATTCGAGTTATTTTTGACCACGCCGGCAGATGGTATGTGACACATCGTACGTGGAGATCTTCAACGGGACATACAGTCTATGTAGGTGGCAAGAACTTTCTTTAGCAAAGATTTTCCATGAGCACTGCACCCCTCTTCTGGTTCGCGGCGCCGCAAAACTGCCATTTCTGATAGCTTATTGGAAAATCTGCCTACCCACCCTCTCTCCCCTCCTCTCCCCCGCTCCACAGCGAATTCTGGGAACGTTTGGTAAGATGGGATGATCGGTCTGTTGTGGAAGGGATCCACAAGGCAGGATTTGGAGAGGCGGGAGGGACGAAGGTCGCATTACCGGAAATTCTTCCCAGTTTCATGTACTCCATTTCGAAGTACATTAGATTCGCATCATGACCCGTAGCTAGGCAGCTTTTTCATGTGTAAAAAAAAACCAACAAGGGAAGGATGGTAGGTCGAAGTGGCCATTTGAAATGAAATGTATACCGGCTGAAAGGTCTTCGGACGGGAATTACGAAACCGTCTTCCATATCTGCTGCGGACCTCCCAGAAAGAAGTTACGGAGCTTTTTGGGGGAGATACTCGCATTCAGTACGAAATTGGCGGCGTAAGGCCGATGAGATCGTAGCAGCGTGGCCGAGTGGTTACGTCGTAGTACTCTCGGATGCGTGGTCGAGGATTTGCATCCTTTATGCGTGTGTTCTTTTGCATTTTTCAGAAAGCGGTCTCTGTGTCCTCTTATTTTTCAGAAATTTTTTCCCAAAAATTTTTTCAATCTCTTATCTTTCAGGAAGTGGTCGCATGACAACATCATCAGCCACAAATGTTTTCCATGGAATCGATCGCAATGGCTTCATTAGTTCAGAGTTGTGCAAAAACGGCTTTCGAGTGCACAGAAACCACTTTCGCAAAGAAGCAAAAGAGCACACGCATCAAGAATCAAACCCTCGACCACGCACCCGAGAGCCCTACAACGTAACGTTTCACGATCTCATAAGCCTTACGCTGTTTATTCGTACAAAATGCGAATATTCTCCCCCTAAAAAGCTCCGTAACTTTTTTCTGGGAGGTCCGCAGCAGATATGGAAGACGGTTTCGTAATTCCCGTCCGAAGACCTTTCAGCCGGTATACATTTCATTTCAAATGGCCACTTCGACCTACCATCCTTCCCTTGTAAGTTGCGCTTTTGGACGCTGTAAGTTGCGCTTTTGGACGCTGCCGCAAATGAACGCAGCCTAAGGATAACAGCACGCCTGTTTATGTTACTGGTTATCCCGCTGAGTCCGTGAGCTATACTCCTTTGATTGACTAAAACTCGAAACTTGCATCAGAATAATAGTTAACTATACCTGATGTTGAAGATTCAGTAGAATCGGCCTCGTATTCCCACAACAAGATTGCCCTGATAATTTTGAGGCGATTGTAGTCGATAAAATCCGGTGGTAGCGCTTCCATTAATTGCTTCAGTCTATACACATCTGAATAGAACTGATGACAACGAAAACAACAAGTGCAGCCTTTCGGTCAGGAAGTTCACGTTGCGGCGTCGAGGCGTCAAAAGGGACGTCGCGCACGATAGTTGAAGCACGCACCGCATCAAAGCTGAAGTCATTCCTTAGCGTGCGCGTAGAACCGTCTGCTAAAATACAGTTCTCGCGATCAAGCGGTCCGCGATCGCGAGAACTGTTTTTCAGCAGACTGTTTACGCGCGAATGCCTCTGTGCTTTTGGCGTCCTGGTCCGCATCGCATGTAATGTACCACTCTCGTCACTCGAAACGGCGAGATAAAGAAGCTGGGACGCGTGATTATTGCAACCATTGCAACCACGATTACTTTCACTCTGCAAGACAACGGCTTACAAGCGGATTGTGTATACATAGCGTTGCCTGGAGCGTCGTAGGGTGATTTCCTGTGCTCTTGCCGAGAATTGGTTGCACGTTGAATCCTGCTGACTGGGCTTGTTTTCAAGACAAACTCGTCCAAGACATCGGCCCCACTGCTAAAGGGGTCTCTGTTTAGGGCGTTCCTAAGTTCGTTCCGTATCCTTTTTTCGCTTCTTTCTCTACTATGAGCTACATGTAGGCTACTGGTTCATGCTGAGCACCTACGACCCGTAACATTTTGTCGCGGGTACTATCTTTGAGCGCCATAGAGTAGACCTCATGGCCGACACCCAGACCGTCTGATAAGCACACCTTGACCATTTCCTAGGCACAGTCTCCTCTCAAACATTCTGTGCATAATAAGAATAAAGTAAAACAAAAAGCCAGTTTTATTTCGCTCTGCAATGCGCCATACGTTCAGCTTCGAAAAGAAGCAGACGTGATCTAAAGGGTATACAGGGAACCGTATACAGTATGTGAATGACAGGTGGGGAGAAGCGGAATACCATCGGGATGTAGTGCAATTCACGCTTATCGCACGCTGCAGCAGAAAATCTCTGCATCAAATTCGGCTATGAATTAGTTTCCGCTATAAATAGCTTACACTCTGGTGGGCTAATTGCAGCAAGTGCGGGACAGGACATCCAGGTTGAGGCGATTCATTGCATACCAACGCGAAAACCCTAAAGTAGTGTTCAGAGTTCGCGATCGGTGTCGACGCGCTAACATTGCAACAGCGCTTCAATGCTATAGACGGGAGAGCAGTCACAAGCGTACCCCTCTACCCTGTGCTTCGACGCGTCAACGCGAAGTCTGATTAGGTTGGCGGGAAAGTTCTGTCACACTTTTTCGAACTCAAATTACTTGCCCATTACCAAGAGGGGTAACCGGTAATGTAAGCTCTTATACAACAAGGAGTGGTCTTTCTATTAGTACCACTCGCTTGACTCCTGCTTCTTCTTCTGCAATATGGACAAGGATTTTATCCGCTACCATCGGCACCGACCCAGACGCTTCCTCAAACTTTTTTTCCACCACCTGACGCCAGCATGTTAGCTGCAGATGCCAAAATAATGGAGCTGAATAAGGACGATGCCCTCAATCATCGGGAAACCTTTTCACACGGTACTGCTTCAAGCATTACCCAGCCCTAGGGAGCCTACAGTTTTGATGACGAAGTGAGGTTTGGGTTACCTGCGAACTCAGCTTGAGGGAGCTGTGGGTCGGGAAACTGCTGGATGAAGAAGCTGCTTCCTCGGTCAATGCGTACGCAAAGCAGCTACGAGATCTAAAGCGTACCGTGATCAGAGGGAAAAATTTGTCCGCACAGCCCGCCTTCATCCACTCCGCCCAAAAAAGTTTGAGCCGTACCTCATGCAATAGAGCTCTCCCCTTGCACTGTTGTAGCACAGACATTGCTCCTTTTCATTGCAAGTAATTGTTCTCAGTCGTTATGTGGACGAGAAAACCTCCATAACCCGAGTTCAAGTCAAGATTGAGATGGTGTCCAACTTTGCGTCGCGCTCCCTGCATTGTGAAGCGATGGCATCCATGAGGTGCTCAAAAACTGGCAAGGACCCCGCAGTAACATTGCTGTACAATTTTGATCTTACACGCCTCTCTAAAAAGAAAGCCTAATTTGAAAAAATGTGACAGAACTTTCCCGCCAACCTAATAGTTCGCGTCATTTAGCAAGCAGATTTCATCCAGTTTACGCGGATCGCCGAACAGGATGTCCCAATCCGCACCCATCTCCGGGTGTGGAGCACTTCCCAGTCGGGGCATCGCGGTGCGAGTTGACTAGGGAGATACAGACGACGCGCACCGCCGCTGACATGTTATGTTGGTAGGGTCCTAGTGCGAATGCTGCGTATGCCGGTCCGCTTAGAAAGCCTATTTCGCCATGAATGCAAAGTGACGCTCCGCCTCCCCCCCCCCACCGCATATCTAGCCGCTTCAATAGTTCTAGCACCACTTAAAATGAAGAAAAAAAGCTATAAGACATCAGAATGGTAGACCTTACCTCCACCCAGTTTCTCTCTAGCAGCACTGAATACACTGTTGAGGAGACTCTTATCAATGCCCAGTTTGTCCAAATGAACCGGAAGTCCTAGCTCAACAGCAGAACACAAATATCCCCACGTAGTTGATTCGCTAACACAGCGTATTTTCGAGAGATCAACCTGAGTTGCTTTTAGATATTCTAAAATTAACAGCGAACACCGAAAAAAACATCTAAAGTGGAAGGCTCACAACAGAAGCTGCAGACATCAAATGGGCTTTGTATGTTTGTTGAATGCTGGGTGTAAGCCGTGCCATGGCTTCTTGAAGCTCTGATGGAACCTGAATGTGTAAAGACTTCGAGGTCAAGCGTCATTCACTCTTCCCTTATGATCTCGCTATCAGTATTTAGGCTAGATTTGTACTGATATACACTACTAACCCTAAGACAGAGTAGGCGTGGCATTGAACATGGCAAGGAAAAAAGTTACTCGTGGGATGTTTCAGTTCGAGAGAACTATCTTGTTCTGACAATGGACACGACCACAATCGTGCCAAAATGGGAATATCTCAAAGCACTGCCACGGCGCGTTTAGGTGAGATGTGGTAGGCGCGGCCACGCTTACGACACTGCGGCCACGCCTACCACATCTCAGGAGTTTTGAATGTATGTCCATGGCGACAATACGATTCCGAGTACGATTTCAGGGAAGGAAGATATGACTATCTAGTTTCCGTCTGAAGGGGTATAGATATTACAGGAACGTTTTGTTAGCAAAAGCAAAATGCTGGAAACATCAAAACAATCAAAAAAAAGCCGTATTAAATCACATTTGGTTGACGCAAAAAAGCCTGACTCCCGCGTCACAACACTTTACCGAATTCTCTAAGGATCTCTGTCTAGGCATAGCTTGATGTCATCAGTTGGAATACCGGTTACGAAAATGCCTAGCGGCCGCGTCAATTATTAGGTTGGTGCATAAGTTCTTGGCCACGTGTTTGATCCTTCCGTATTTCGTTTGCATGGATGTTGGTATATCGTCATCACGTGTGCGTGACGTGGGCACTATACTCTTTTATCACACTAGCTATCACTCACCCACCTTGCATTTGCAGGCCACAATGTCGCACAATTTCCACTGTGACAAAATGTACCTGCGCCACTGCCTGGTTTTACTTCATTCACAAAGAAGCTTCACTCTCAACTCTCGATAATCACTGGAGATGAGAAGTGGGTCCTCTACGATAACCCTGTGAGGAAGCGGCAGTGGGTCGACAAAGGAGAACAGCCAGAAGCCACCCCAAAGGCCGACCTTCACCCCAAAAAGGTTCTCCTGTCCTGGTGGTCCAGAAGAGGCATGGAGTGAGCTGCTGGAGAAGGGACAGACGATTGACGCTTCCACATATGTTACCCAGCTGCGCAAATTGAAAGATCACGTCGACCGTACTCGTGGAAGGAATGCGGAAATCTACTTCCACATGACAACGCCCGACCTCACACTGCAAAGGCGACCCAGGCCGAGCTGGAGAAGTACGGATGGCTGATGGTCGCCCACCCTACAGCCCTGACATCGCTCCTTCTGACTACTGGCTGTTCAGCCACCTGCAGCGCTCTCTGGACGGAAAAAAGTTCGAAACAAAGGATCAGGTCAGAAAGGCACTCGACGACTTCTTCAAGTCCCAGCCCCCGTCGTTCTGGAAGAAGGAATCGACAAGCTGCCTGAGCGCTGGCGTCGAGTAGTGGATGGTGATGATGCATACCTCTAATCTTCAGGTTGGTTCGCTATTGAGATATTTACGAAAAAGTCGTGTATAAGAACCTATCGTGGCCAAGAACCTATGCACCAACCTAATACTTTCTTATTCGCAATGGTCAAAGTTCCGTCAGGACAAAACCCCTCAGCAAATTTATCCCCGGACTGATTTCAACAGGAATTCCAACTGTACTTTGACAGCGGAGGTTCTGCAGTAAAATGCATCATATTCAAACAGTAGCGCTTCCGGCATTAAAAAATTACCCACCGTTGTAAGAACTGGTGGCGTTTGTATCAAGTTTGTGTGCCTTGGCGAATTCTTTGATAGAATCGATGAAACGCTGTCCGAAGCGTTGACGTCGTTCTACAGGCAGATCCGAGATTGCCTCCAGAGCAACCATGCTGAAAAAAATCAGGGGAATAACTACGTAGGTGACATCACCCCGACACTGGCGTGCTTCCCGAGGATCCACCCAAAGCAGTTGCACCTTTTCTTGAACAGGGAAGAGAAGACGCAAAACTTCCCAGATCTGTCAAGT